TTTAGGAAGGTGATGGTGATGGTGATTATAGGGAGAGTGCATGTGGGGCGATCCTCCTGCTGCAGCAGAAGTGGAAAACCAGAGAGAGTAAAAGCAACACACTGCAAGTGGGAGGGTTAGATTGCAGCTCAAGGTTTCAAGAGCAACAGGAGACAACAGATTTAGGAAAGTGAAACAATAAACCGCAATCTAAAACCAACGTGGCTCATGGGAAGAAAGAGAACCAAAGCACATTTGCATAGGTTCATCGAAATGCACATTTGCAGTTATATGGCGTCCTCACGATAAGGTAATAGAAAATGCGCATTTGGAAGTCAGATGGATGAGAATGAGCAGCGTGGTTGCTTGCTTGCAGAGAGGGAAGGGGCAGAATGGTCTCAAGTCAAACAGGAGGAGCAGCCGCACAGCCAAACTGAAAGCAACACACAGCCAACCTGAGAGGCATGGCAGTGACGGAGAGGATCTCATTGGAGCAGTTGTAGCCGGGCGACACGACCAGCGTCTTTGACAGCATAGACACAACCGACAGCACGCATAAACCAGCATCACAGCACGGGCAAACCAACCTGAGAGCATGGCAGTGACGGAGAGTATCTCATTGGAGCAGTTGTAGTCGGGCGACACCACCAGCATCTTGGACAGCTGCGGGTCGAGCGGGAACTCGCTCATGAGCTCCCCTAGCTTCGTCAGATTCCCCTCGTCGTCCAGCGCCCCCAGGTAGTTCAACAACTCCAGCGCCCGCATTAGGGTTTCCGGAGCAGGTGGGTCCATGAAGTCAAAGTGCACCAGGTCGTCGATCCCGAGCTTTTTTAGGGTCAGGACGACGTTTGCAAGGTTGGACCGGAGGATTTCCGGGTAGGTTTGCTCCTGAAGGTCTTTTTGGAAGGACCGTTCCGTGTATAGCCGAAAGCACTTCCCGGGTTGGGTTCGGCCGGCGCGGCCGGCCCTCTGGTGCGCCGAGGCTTTCGAAATCGGGGAGACTAGGAGCGATTCGACGCGGATCCGAGGGTTGTAGACCTTCTGCTTGGAGAACCCTGGGTCGATGACATACACGATACCGTCGATCGTGAGGGAAGTCTCTGCGATGTTGGTGGAAATGACGATTTTTCCGCCCGGGCGGGCCGTTTCCTTCACGGGCGGCGGGGCGGCGTCAAAGATTTTCTGCTGCATGGCGGGCGGCAGAGTGGAGTAGAGCGGCACGACCTTCACGGGTCCGACCTGGTCGCCCAGGTTCTGCACCTCGCGGGCAATCTTCTTGCACGCGTCCTCGATTCCTCCTCTCCAGTTAGGAACACGAGGATGTCGCCGGGGGGCTCGCACATGTGGATCTGTACCACCGTGCGGATGGCGGCTTCCAGGTAATCTCGTTCTGGCTCCTGTGTTTGGGGGAGGGGAGAGGGAGAGGGATGAGGGTGTAAGAGAGAGGGACTGAAGGAGGGAGAGGGGGATATTGCTCGGTGCTTCGCACATGTGGATCGAGACCACTGTGTGGATGGCTGCTTCCAGGTAGTCCCGCTCTGGCTCCTGTGGGAGGGGGGAAGAAGAGGGAGGTGGAAGAGTGGGAAGGAAGGAGAGTGGGAAGGAAGGGAGAGTGGGAAGGAAGGAGAGTGGGAAGGAAGGGAGAGTGAGACGGAAGGGAGAGTGAGGCGGAAGGGAGGGATGGAATGGAAGGGAGAGGGAGGTGGAAAGGGAGGGGGCTTGAATATTGCTCGGTGGCTCGTAAATGTGGATCTGCACCACGGGGCGAATGACGAGATTCAAGTCTTTCCAGTGCTCCAGCATTGCATTGAGCCGCCCTAACAGCCAAACAGCCAAACAGCCTAACAGCCAAACAGCATGTCAGTCCTCACTCACGCACTGTAAGGACGGACAGTGCGAGAGTGAGTGAGGCCCCTCTCCTCAACCACCCTCACCTGCGTGTAAAATATTCCAACGGGATGGATGGAGCCTTCCGGAAACTTTCATGCGTTTCGCCCCATGGAAGTACCCCCGAAACTTCTCCGCTTCCAGTGACCACCAGCGCTCATGCCCACCAGCTTGAGGTCTTCACGGTGCTCCAGCACCGTCTTGAGCAGCCCAAACAGCACGTCCGACCTCACGGCGCAGTGAGTGGCTGAGGCCCGTCTCCCCAAGCCTCTTACCTGCGTGTAGAAGATCTCGACGGGATGCAGCCTTCCAGGAACCTTCATGAGCGGCGCCCCATGGAAGTACCCTTGGAACTTCTCCGCCTCGAGAGTGGCGCTCATGACCACCAGCTTGAGGTCTTTGCGGTGCTCCAGCACCGCCTTGAGCAGCCCAAACAGCACGTCCGTCGCCAGCGTGCGCTCGTGCGCCTCGTCCAGGATGATGGCCTTGTAACGTTCCAATAAAGGATCGGCCATGGCCTCACGTAGAAGCATACCGTCGGTCAGGTACCTGGAGAGTTGTGGAGGGGGGGGGGGGGAAGGAAGGGGTGCGTTAGTGAGCCTCGTCCAGAATTACGGCCTCGTCCAGGATTACGGCCTCGTCCAGAATTACTGCCTTGAGCCTCTGCTTGGACGAGCAGAGGCTCCGCCATGGCCTCACGCAGAAGCATACCGTCGGTGAGACACCTGTTGTTAACGCGAAACACTCAGGGAGAAACAGAAGAGGGGAAGAAGGTAGGACTCAAAAGTCGTACCGATGGCCTTGCCTCGCCCGACATTCTATGACTCAACGCTGAATTCTTACCCATCAGCGTTAGGATGAGCAGCACGAAGAAAAAAACGTTAGCACAAGACATACTACTATGACACGACGCAGTTTTTTTTTTAAACCTCGCTTGAGGCTGGTCTTGGGTCCGCGTCTTGGGTGCGTTATTTGGGGAGCCTTAAACTCACTTGAGGCTGGTCTTGGGTCCGCTGCAGTCCTCGAATCGAATCGAGTAGCCGACCTCCTCCCCTATAGTCACATCCATCTCGTCCGCCACTCGCCGCGACACCGACATCGCCGCCACTCGCCGCGGCTGCGTGCACGCGACCTGCTTCTTGGGGGTCGCGTTCAGGCACTCCACGACAAACTGGGGAATCTGCAACAGTAAGATGCACGGGAAGTAGAATGTTAAGGCTTGAACCCCGCTGCGTGCACGCCACCTGCTTCATGGGCGTCGCGTTCAGGCACTCCACCACGAATTGCGGGATCTGGTTAAGTACGAGTGAAGGGGAGAAATAATATCAAGGAGCCGAAAATTAAACAGCAGAGACCGCAGCCTGCTACTTGGCGGCGGAAATAAGCACTCGACGACGAACTGGGGAATCTGGAGAGACGGGAAAAAGGACGGGAAAAAGGACGGGGAAAAGGACGGGAAAAAGGACGGGAAAAAGGACGGGAAAAAGGACGGGAAAAAGAGGACACCTGCGAGTGCATGAGCGCAAAGGCCCGAACGCTATCTGCCTCTCGGGCCTCGCGCTCATGCACTCGACAACAGATTGGGAAATCTGGTTTTTTTTTTTTTTTTTTTTTTTTTTTTTAAGCCACACCGTTGCCACAAGTTCTAAGATAATACCAAGCAGTCCATAGCAATCACAAACCTGCGTGGTCTTCCCGCTACCCGTCTCTTCCACGAGCAAGACGATCACTAACCTGCGGGGTCTTCCCGTTACCCGTCTATCTTTACCAGACACCGACAACTAACCTGCGTGGTCTTCCCGCTACCGGTCTCTCCCACGAGCACGATGATCTGCTGCTTCTTCATGAGACCATCAATTCCGCAAATGCTATGACAACATAGACCAAGCACCGACCACTAACCTGCGTGGTCTTCCCGCTACCCGTTTCTCCCACGAGCACGATGATCTGCTGCTTCGTCAGGAGCTCCATAAACTCACGGGTTCTAGGGCTATACCAAACCGCATCCGACGAAAATCCAATGACTAACCTGCGTGGTCTTCCCGCTACCCGTCTCTCCGACAAGAACAATAATCTGCTGCTTCTTCTTCAGAAGCTCCACAAACTCCTGCTTCTGCTGCCACACCGGCAGCTAGGAACAATCAAGGGTTCGAGGCCATACCCTCACCAAACCCAGCACCAGGACCACTAACCTGTGTGGTCTTCCCGCTACCCGTCTCTCCCACGAGCACGATGATCTGCTGCTTCTTCAGGAGCTCCACAAACTCCTGCTTCTGCTGCCACACCGGCAGCGTCCGCCGCTTTTCGAGAATATCAAAATACCGCTGCGTGTACGGCCGGCCATTATATGGGTTAATCGTCGCTGCTGCCGCCGCGATTACAGCCGCCGCCGCTGCAGCCGCGTCCGTTAGTCCGTCCACCTTCTGGCGGCTCGTTTCTGGCGGGACGTCGAAGAGGCTGATCTTACGCTTGCGTTCCGTCCCCATGCCTGACTCCTTGCCGCTTGCTGACTAATCAACAATAGTAGACTCCGGGTTCGCGAAACGTAAATCTAGGGTTTCTGATTTCCACAGCAGAACTCGCAGCAAGCAACAGCAGGCTGGAAGCCGTCACGCGCGAATTTCAAGGAATTGGCGTACCGTAGGTTCTGTTGCCGGCCTAACACGTATGTTCAATTCTGACAGAAACTCGAGATTAATCTCCAGGCAGGCTGGTGGCAGGGTTGTGCTAGGCAGGCAAGCGACGTACAGTAGGAGAGGCCGAGCGCACAGGGAGAGATGGAGTGAAAGAATGAGTTTGTGGTGGGCCTGGCGGAAAACCTCGGGAATGCCGAAACCCCCAGGTTCACCATCCGCAAAGCACACAAAACCCTGCAGTCTTCGTTCGAATGTACACGCCTGAACTGTTAGAAGTGCTTGAAGCTACTGCGAATCGTAGCTTATGTACACTCCTAACCACCCAATATGTACAACGACACATGTTCAATAGATAAATAGACAGCTGCATGTATCCTTCTACTGAGGTGTCACTGCCACGCATCCTATAGCTGGAGCCTCCAGCCTGTCAGCACACTTGGTGGCAACCACCACGCACACTACCATCACAGCTTCTGCCCTGCCAGCAGGGTTGCTAGTGCAGCTGCCACCCTGCCGGTGTTTCTTGTAGCAACCTGGCCAATGCAAGAACCGTCCTGCGAACATACATGAAAGATCGGAACAGAACAGGACAAGGCAAAATAAAACACAATGAAGAGCTTCTGCTGACGAATGGGGACGAGGAGAAACTCAAGGGAGAGGGGATTCATGGGAGCAAGGGCACAATAATGGATAGGGTAATGCAAAGAGTATGACAGACATGTCAAAGATGACACATGACACTGAAAATCACATGACATGACACTGGAGCAGCTGCGTGCCTTGAAGAAAGCGAAGGCTGGGACCAGCTTGATTCGATACAACAGGGCAATCTCCTGAAAGGGGGTGGGTGGGAGGGAGAAAGGGACAGTCGTATGGAATAAGTTGGAAAACTGGAGGAAGGGCGGGCATAGAAGAAGCAAACTCCATAAAAATGTTAACAACCAACTGCACCCTGAAAGCCCGATGCACAATGAGGCACAGCATTCAACCATCCACGCACATACCGTTAGATCATCATAGTCGTCTCGGACGTTGTGCTTGAGGAACCGAACGGCTGAAAATTCATGCCGCATTGTTTCCGTATCAACATCTGCGGACGAGTTCTCACTAGAAGATGCTGCTACACTGCCAGTGACCGCACTATCTCCAACCACATTCTCTGTAGAACCCTCGGCTCTAACCCCATCAGCTGTAACCCTATCCGCTGCATCTGCCATCCAATCAACAGCACACTCGGAGTCACCCTGACAGCCCTGAAACGAGGACGGGGATCAAGCATGTGAGACATTGTGGCAATGGGGAACAATGCGACGTGGCGGTCAGCAGAGCCTATATCTAAAAAACAGAGGAGTAAGTCAGGCTGCTGTGGTGGCAGTCTAGATAGTGTTGGCAAAACAATGGCACTTCAGCCACATTCCAGGGGGATGCCCCGGGGCTCAGGAGCCGTACTAGGCCAATGCTGAAGGGGTGTGACACTGGGGCGTTCAGTGGTCTCTATCTTGACAAACTGACCAAGCAGCAGAGCTTAAGTAGTGTATCCCAGTAAATGGACATGTGACTTGCTCTTACCGATTTGCAGAGGTCAATAAATTTGGGAAGAATGTATTTACAAGAGCCGCATGCGGAGTTGTAAAAATCCACAACCACCTGCATCAGGCAAACAAGTTCTTCAATTCGTGGCCATATACCCGTTAAAGTCAGCCCAGCGCGAACAAGGGGAAGAGGCTGCAGGCTGCAGCTACATGGCTCGAACTTTCTAATACGTGGATTCCTTCATTCCTCACCCCAAACTCACCAGCTGCTTATTCTGCTCCGCTGTAAGCAGCTCCGCTTCCAGATCAGCCATGGTCCGCACCTCCCTCACGCAATCCACAGGACATGTCACTGCTGACTCAGCACGCCGCTTCTCCTCCTCCTAACGACAAGTTGACCAAAAAGGAGTGTAGAAGGGAAGTGAGGAAGAAACGGCAGAGACGTTAACACCGGCATAACCAAGGGGTGGACTCCAGTCATCATACCTGGCTGTGCGAGGGTCGCCACTCACCACTGACATTAAATACTCACCAACTGATGTCGCCTACTCACCAGCTGACGTCAAATACTCACCAGCTGATGTCGCCTACTCACCAGCTGACGTCAGATACTCACCAACTGATGTCATCTACTCACCAGCTGACGTCAATTACCCACCAACTGATGGCATCTACTCACCAGCTGACGTCAATCACTCACCAACTGATGGCATCTACTCACCAGCTGACGTCAACTACTCACCAACAGATGTCATCTACTCACCAGCTGATGTCAATTACTCACCAACTGATGTCATCTACTCACCAGCTGACGTCAGTTATTCACCAACTGATGTCCTCTACTCACCAGCTGACGTCAGTTACTCGCCAACTGATGTTCATCTACTCACCAAATGACGTCAGTCACTCACCAACTGATGGCATCTACTCACCAGCTGACGGCGGAAGAGCTCCTCAAGGTGCTTCCGGCGGTCGATCTGGATGCGCGCGAATACGCGCGATCGCACGGGGGCGTAGATGGTGGGGATCTGACGGTTGAGATCGTCTGATTCCACCAACGATCGATTGCCACTGATCCCGGTAAATCGACATCTGAAGGCCTGAATGCTACAGGCTTCAACCCGAGCCGCGTTACGGAGATTAACTGCATGCTGCCTACCGAAGCTACGTATGCTGTGGGGAGGCGTATCGGGAGCTACGCAGTTGCTTCGGACCAGCATACAAGTAACAAGCAAGCTACGTGCCTGTGGAAACTAGTGTCTGATATATGAAGGTCGGCCTCTTTATTGATTGTCGAAGGCAGATAGGGTACGCAAGCAAAGTCAAAGAGACTTAAGAACCACGAAACGCCTGCAGTCTCTAGGCGAGAAACGATCACTACAGCACACTTATCATCTGCCTCTCGTTGGCGACGCCAAGGTATGTCTAGGAGAGGTGGGAGATACAGGAATGAGGAGGTGGAGTGCGAAAGTTATGGTCTGTCGGAACAACCTTTTTGCCATTGGGCGGAATGGAAATCATATTCTTGAATGTCGTAAAAATCACGGGGTGTCCTCAAATCGGTTTGTCTCACAATTTTGTCCCCAAGAATCCCCAGGAAACATGGAACCATGGCGATTCGCTTCGCAAATATCCAGGAGCCTGTATACGATAGTGGCACGGTGCAACTGCCGTCACGTTGCAAAAGCACCTGACGTTCTGTATTTCCCAGTGAGCTTTAATATTACAACGCAAATGGTAATAAATAGTTCAATAGCTATCATAGTGTTTGATATTGACCTACGCGTCTCCTCAACGCCTTAGGGCAATCACTTCTTTGGGCAAACTCCGGGCAGGTGATCCTCGTTCCACAAGCATTGACGTAAGTTGCGGGAGCCTTGCCGTAACCGCACAAGCCAGGAGGGCACTTGGTCCTGTGGGGGGAATGAAGGATGGATATTAAATAACCACATATACAGCAACGACAAATCCTGGACGGCAGTGAGTACATGGGCATGGAGTGTTGAAACAAACAAATAACAAATTCGATGTGAAGTGACAGGGGAGCGCCATGGGCTGTCCTGGACCTCACCTGCAGCAGCGCTTGGCCTTGGGCTTGGTTTTGCTACCCTTGTTCTCCAGGCATGTAAACTCGCCCGTCTTGCCGCATTGGGCATTTGCAGTGCAAGGCTTGCCATCCTGCAACCACAGCACACCAAGGTTCGACACATGAAGGATCAAGCAGAAAGTTTAGTCATACACCGGCGGTATAACATGAGGCCGGAGCCTGCCTCTGCTGTCTGCGAATGGCTGCTGGCTTTCTTCTAAAAAACACATTTGGAGGTGAAGTCAGTGGGGTGAGGCGAGACGAGGGGCATGTGATCACGAGACGGAGCAGAGGTGGTGTGAAAAGGGATGAATTATGCAGTAAGGTGGGGAATCATGCGGTGAGGTGGGGAATCATGCGGTGAGGTGAGGTGCAGTACAAGGGATGTAGTTAGTGTGCGTTTAGAGGAGACTTACGATAGCATTGACCACGCATCGGCCGGTCTTGAAGTTGCACACTTGAGCGTAGGCTTTAACGCTGCGACAAAGACAGACGGCAAAGCGACGGGTCGGAGGGAGAGCGAAGGAGGAGCGGGAAGAGAAGGGGATCGAAGGGGGGAGAAGGAAGAAGAGCGGATGAGTTAAGAGAGGCGAAGCTGAAGCTGTCAATGCGAGAGAAACAGCATGGTGCGCGTGCCGGCTGATCCCGGTGACGGAGGGGATGGTGGGAGACGAGAGAGGGACGGAACAGCCATTTATGGGGCACCCGTCAGACTCGGGGGTGACACACCGAGGCGAACGGCTCCCCCTTCCGGCGTAGGGAAACAGACACAGGAGAAGGGTAAGGAAAAATGAAGGCCTTGGGAACAGTAAACTCGTGGCTTTGACGCGCCGCTGTCCCAAGGGATGTTGGATGGTCGGCTGCTTGGATTGGCGCGATCGGGCTTTTGAATGGTTCTCAGAAGCCATCATAGGAAAGGGACTAGTAGGGAAAGGGACTAGTAGGGAAAGGAAGAATCAACGACAAGGTTTGACAATGCCTAATGGGCAGACGGCACTTGCTACACTTGTCGAACCTTATCGACTCACCAGACAGCACTTTCTACACAGGTCGAACCTAATCGACTCAACAGCGTAACCCTTACTCAGCACCCTAGCGCATTCCAATCGACGCATCCCTTGTCGCGGAAAAAAACGACTCATGAGCAAACTTACTTGTCTCTGAACGAGCATGTGTCGCACGGCTGCAGGGTGTACGGCGGCTTGGGTTTCGCAGAGTCGGAGCAGACGTAATAGAGACCGCACTGATTGCTGCCGCGACGCGGGCATTGGTACTTCCGGATGCACCCGGGCCGCACTTGCGCGTCCGACGCCGGGATTGACGCGGCGAGCAGCACCAGCGCGACTGCGACTGACGGCAGCATGGTGGCAGGAAACGACGACTGGAGAAATCCAGGGAGAAATATATGGTGAGGAAGGTTCAGGGAGGAACGAGGGGTGGGAGAGAGAGAGGGGATGGTGGTCAAACGGAATGGATCGTGAGGGGATTGTTGCGAGAAAAATTGGGGAGGATGTGATGAGGGTGGAACCGATATCAGCTGGTCGAGCGATGCGTGATTATTTAGTCGATTCAAAAAATCACCTTCAGGAAATGGGAGGATTTGACGAGCAACCGATATCAGATGGTTGAGCGATGCGCACGGCTCGTTGGACAACAATACACGGTTTACTTTCTCTTTTACCGATATATTATCGCACGGACTTATCCTGCCTGCACGAATGCCTCTGCTGCAACCTCGCCTAACCAGAAACGGCCCGGCAAGAAACGCCCTAGAGATGTACCTGCGGATCCCTGAAAGTGAGAAAGTACTTGAATGACGGTGGCGACACAGGGGCAGCGCAGACACAACGGCGTAACGAGTACCAGTGAGATAACTGAAGCAGGCGTGGATTCTAGGGAAACGCAGAATGGACGGTGGCTGAACTGAAGCTCAGTGGAGGGCAATGGAAGGGAATGATATGGCTTGGACAAAATGGTCGTCGGCGTGAGGCGAGGCAAGCCAAACCACATCAGGCACGGGATGGGTTTGGAGAGGAACAATAGGGTGAGACACGGTTGGAAGAGTTGTGAGGTACTTAGGGGTGTCATGAGATGGGATGCTGATAGGGGTGGGGGAAAGTGGGGAGTTGGTGGGGGCGGCCCGCGCTGCGTGGTTCGGCGGAATGGAATGTGACCATGGCATGATGCCCATTCAGCGAGATGACTGGTGCTCTGCTCTCTGCTGCACAAAGCACGTCCACCCGCGCACACATCACCGATGCTCTTGACCTTCGTTTCCGCTGCAGCCCGCATCTTCACACCACACCGCGCTGATTCGGCAAAGTGCTGCTCTGCGCTGATCGCGCGCCATTTGGCATCTGCGGAAGGTCGCGACGGGAGGCAAGGACGGTGCTTGCCGTGGTTGGTAGAATTCTGTGGTGGTAGTGGCGTGGTGCGTTAGAGTGGAGGGAGGTTCACCGAATCACTGCTGCCGCTGTGTGACAGGCGCAATTGAACGGTAAGTGTCCTTCGTGGGTAGACCGGTCTGACGGCGCCGACTTGGTTGGGGCAGCCCTGAAGAGCGGCAAGCGGCGTTCGGGCAGCAAGCGAAGCGGTTTGACGGCTGAGTTGCCCGTTTGTCACCCTTTTTGAACCGATTGGGCAGGAGAGGCTTGACCATGCGGCGCGTGTGGCATGCTGCAAACAGAGTTCGCGGTGAAAAACGGCTCAAAACTGGGCACTGTGGTCAGACACGACCCTCCGAGCTGATTCGTGGAGGGATTTAGGGCAAGGGTTCGCCCCTATCACTCACCGGTTCGAATAGATAGGGTTTTCAAAGCTGCCCGTCTATCCTGAGCTCCAGAGTGTTTGAGGCTGCCATAACAAATGGACAAGGGATGACCTGTTGACGCAACCTTGACGGCGTCAACGTTACCAGCATCAACAGGTCCTCAAAGTGCAGCAGTTCAGGTGGTTTCATCAGGTAACTGTTCAGGGTGTTCGCAGCAATGCCTCTATATACTGTGGTACAGCTTGTGCGTGCCCGAGCTGTCTGTCTAACATATTGGCGGTTAAAACTGGCAGCAATGGAACTTGTCACCCTGCATTATAAATAAAAAAAGTTATGAGATTCTAGATTCCATGTACCAATTGTCAACTCACATATATTATAAATATTTGTGTAGGCTTGTAGATGTTCTACAAATGACTGGATCCTAGTGTAGAGTGGACAACCCACTTCTCTCCTCTCTCTCTCTCTCTTCTCTCTCTCTCTCTCTTCTCTCTCTCTCTCTCTCTCTCTCTCTCTCTCTCTTCTCTCTCTCTTCTCTCTCTCTCTCTTCTCTCTCTCTCTTCTCTCTCTCTCTCTCTCTCTCCTAGTCGACTCTCTTTTCTCTAGCCACATTTCCTACTACCTAGCTAAAACCTTTTCCTAACATGGTTTCAGAGCAGGATGATCCTGCTGAGCCTTCTCATTATGCTTCTGCAGCGTACTCTCTCCCCTCTTCTCACTATCGCGCTGTCGTGGCAGCCTCGTTGTGCTGCCATGGCGGCCTCGATGCGTTGCCGTGGCGGCCTCGACGTGCTGCTGTGGCGTCGACGAGCTGCCATGGCGGTTGCGTCGTGCTGTCGTGGCGGCTTCGTCGGCCAGCGCACGGGCGGCAGCAGCCATCGCACTCTTTTAGTGCCAGCCAGCATGCCCGCACGCCAGCCAGGGCGCCTCGCTGAAGCCATGACCCCTCCCCTTTGTCTCCCCTCATCCCAGCCACAACTGATGGCTCCCTTCCCCATAGTCGCCGGGCCGAGCCACGCCGGGTGCCGCGGGCTTCGCAGTCGTCGAAGCCGCCGCCGCCGCTGTAGGTGTCGCGGGATTCGCAGTCGCCGCCACCGCCGCTATCGTCGTCGTAGCCGCCGCTGACGCCGTTGCTGCCATCGGCCGCCGACGTCACCATTTTGCACCCCGAAGGGCAGAAGCCATAGCTGCTGAAGGGCATGGGGGTGTAAGGGCTTGGGGGTGTTACGTGTGTGGTGTGCTAGCGCCTACCAAGCCTAGGGGATGTGTGAACTAATATTATTATATTATATACATTTTTTGTTGTGTAGGCTTGGTAGGTGTTCTACAAATGGCAGGATCCTACTACAGAGCGGACGACCCACTTCTTGTACCCCTCTCTCTCTCCTAGTCAACTCTTTTCTCTCGCCACTTATCTTAATACCTAAGTAAAACTATCAAAATCAGAGTAGTGAATAATGACTAGTGAGAGAGTACAGAAAGATATACCTAAGTATTGTACCTTCTAACAGGTGACCCTATACAGTCTATGCAAACATAACTAATACACATGTTTGACACACCCCCTAGACTGCATAGGGGAATGTCCTGAACAAGCAGCTCAGGGCGGCACTACTAGTCCAACCTCTGAGACAAAGGTCTAAAAGACCAGTCAGAAGGAGTACAGACAAGGCAAGAACAAGATCAGGGTGGCACTACTAGTCCAGCCACTGGGAGAGGACACAAGTCCAGTCTGAGTATACATATAAAGGGCAGTACAAAGTCAAGGCCCTAGCAAGTGAGAGGCTACAGGGACTAGACCAAGCTGTACGCAGTGCCGCTGATGATCTTTACGCGCAAGCGCCTTCGTAAAGATATCAGCTGTGTAGGCACCAACGGCCAAGTGTACTACGCGAGCCTGGCGTCGCTGCTGTAGCTCGCGCAGGAGGAAGTATCGCAGCTGAATATGCTTCGCTCTGCCCTCGAGTCGAGGCTCCTGACACAGGAGGATCATGGCCCTGTTGTCAGCGAACAGGACCGGGGCAGAGCTAGGCCGCTCACCTAAGTCAGTGAGCAAGAAGGTCAGCCAGCGAAGCTCCTGTGCCGCCATGGCACCAGCGTAGATCTCGGCCTCACAGCTGGACTGGGCAACAGACGAGGAGCGGGTAGCTCTCCACGAGATGGCACCTGAGCCAAGACTGAAGCAGTAGCCCTGGGTAGACCTGAGTGTCTCGGCGTCGTCTGCCCACGAAGCGTCGGTGTGTCCAGTAAGGACCACTGGCCCGCGTCCTCCTAGCACTAACCCCATGCCCGATGTACTAGCAAGATAACGCAAAACCCTCTTAGCGGCAGACCAGTGCTGCGGTCGGTGTCTGCCTGTGGCCACAAAGCGAGCCAGGATGCTGAGAGGGTATGCGGGATCTGGGCGAGTGCAAGTCATCAGGTACATGAGGCAACCCACCAGCTCTGCGTAGGGGCCGCTGGGCTCAACCGACTCCTCAGACACTGGAGCGGAGAGTCTGTGGTCTACAGGCAGAGGGGTGGGCTGTGCAGAGGAGAACTGAAGGCTGAACCTCTGAAGGACCTGGCGCACCAAGTGTGACTGAGTCAGGGTGATGGTGCGCGCTGCTCTGTCCCTGGAGATCTGCAAGCCAAGGTAGCGGCGCAGTTCTCCAAGGTCAGTGCACGTGTGTCTCTTCAGCAACTCTGCCTTCACGGAGGCCAGTGCGTCCCTGTCTGCTGTGGCAAAGACAAGGTCGTCGACGTAAACAAGGATGTAGAACGGAGTCTGGCCAGCACGAACGAAGAGTGAGGGGTGTGCGGAAGACGGAAAGAACTGCAGGTCAGCAAGCGTAGCACGGAGAGTGTCGTGCCACTCACGGGGAGCCTGGAGCAGGCCGTAGACGGGGCGCCGCAGGAGCCACTGGGTCCCAGGAGGGAAGGTGCCAGTAAAGCCCTGAGGGCGACGCAAGTAGACCTGCTCGTGTAGGCTGCCCTGAAGGAAGGCGGTGGAGAAGTCGAGGGAGTGAAGCTCGTAGTCGCGCTGAGCAGCTAGGTGTAGCAGAACCCGAAGAGTAGTCATCTTCGAGGTCGGAGCGAAGGTCTGGAAGAAGTCCACCCCCTCACGCTGACTGAAGCCTCTAGCCACATAGCGCGCCTTGAACACAGGCGGCTCTCCAGGAGGGCGCTTCACCTTGAAGAGCCAGCGGCCATCGACTACGTTCACCCCAGGTGGGGGAACTGCGTCGACGAAGGTGCCGGTGGATCTCCAAGATGCCATCTCCTGCTCCATGGCAGCTATCCACTACGAGGCCCAAGGTCCCGAGGTCGCCTCAGCGTAAGTGCGAGGGGTCGGGATGTCGAAAGCGTCTGGGTCACCCTCAGGGACTAGCAGCATGGAACAGAGATGGGGAGCAGCCTCGGACAGGAAAGCAAGCTCGAACTGGCGGTCCTCCAGGACGTCACTGCCAAGGGCAGGAGCACCCCCGACAGACGGAGGACAAGCAAGGTCAGAGACCAGAGCGGTAGCGTAGTCAAGGCGGCGGGTAGAGGCGAAGTCAGCGACCGCAGCTACAAGAGCGTCAAGGCACGAGACCGGAACAGACGGGTCGGTAACGAGAGAGGCAAGGACCCGGGGAACAAGAGGACGAGCGGCACGAAGGTAGTCAGACAGCGGGGGGGGTGCAACAACAAGGGAGGACGGAGGAGGCGACGGCAGAAGGGGAGGACGAGACGCGTGTGAACGAAGCAACATAGGGTGGGAGCGCAAGACAGGGGAGGCAGGACGAGCACGTGAGGGACGGTGAGACCAGACGTGCGACGGAGGAGTCGGGTCAGGAGACTGGAGAGGGGACATAAGAGGGGAACGCGGGAGACGACGGGCCGCGGACGAGTCCGGCGGAGGGAACACAGGGCCGTAGACGGGAGGAGGAGGAGACGGGCGGAGAGGAACAGCCACAGGGTCAGGGGACGGAAGGCCAAGCAGGCGAAGGGCGGACACCGGCGGGGACTGCTGCTCCGGCGGCACAACGGCGACACCGGGACTGCAAGCTGCTCCTCGGCTACCACCGGCACACTCCACACCAGCAACACCAGAGGAACCACCCCCAGGGCAACCGGTACTAGCACCCCCAGAGTCAGTAAACGGGTGTTGCGACGGCGGCGGCGGCGGCGGCAGCGACACCGACGGCTGCAGCGGCGGCAGAGGCGGTGGAGGAGGGGACTGGGGAGGGGACGCCGGTGGAGGGGCGGCCGGCGAGGACTGCGCAGCAGGGCCACCAGAGTCAGAAGACTCCTCAACCGGGTCCACCGACGGAAGGGGGGTGACGTGGGACACACCAGAGGGGGCAGGACGGGGAGGAGGAGGGGGAGGGGCAGGGACTACCGAGGAAGGAGTGACCAGGAACAGGGGGGGGGTAACCGGGGGACCACGGTGGGGGAAGCGACGGTAGTAAGAGACGGACTCATCAAAGGTGACGTCGCGAGAGTGAAAGAAGCGTTGAGACGGCGGGTGGTAAAAGTGCCAGTCGGACGCGTCAAGGGGAAAACCGAGGAAGACGCAGGGAAGGGTGCGGGCAGTGAGCTTGTCCGTGCCGGAGGCACGGACGTGAGCAAGGCAGCCCCAGACGTGAAACGCAGACGCGTCGCCAGGAGACCCAGTCCAAAGACGGGTCGGCGAAACCTGCGGCTGCTGTGGGTGCGGCCACAAGTTAAGCTGGTGAGAAGCGTAGCGCACAGCGAACAGCCACAGAAAATGGGGTGCACCGGCATGGATCATGGAGGTGCGAGCCACCTCCATGACCAAACCGATGCGTCGCTCAGCGACCCTATTCTGCTGTGGGGAGTCCGGTAGGGTGAACGTCTGGGGATGCCCTCCGCACGACAAAAGCGACCAAGGACACCTGAGGCAAACTCGCCACCACGGTCAGAGTGAAGACGCAAGACAGGGAGACCGCGGTGGACACGCGCAGAGACAAGCCAGGGGATGAGGGCGCCAGGCACGTCGGCCTTGCGCTCCAGGGGAAAGACTGTGGTGTAACGAGTAAAGTCGTCGACAAGCACAAGGAAGTAGCGCTCGCGACGTGGCCCAGGGACGGGGGCGGGGCCCCAGACGTCCAGGTGCAGGGTCTGCAGCGGCGCGGCGGTAGGGGGAAAAGAGGAGTGAGGGGCACGGCGAAGCCGACCCTCGACACAAGGCGTGCAAGGTGGGGCTGGGGAGGAGGGAAACGCGGGGAGAGAACCTGGGAGACCAAGGACAAGACTGTGCTGGGACATGTGACGCAGACGCGGGAGCGCAGGGTGACCTAGGCGGTGGTGCCAAAGGAGAGTCGGGTGAGTGAGGGACCGACAGGAGCAGGCAGCAGCAACCTGGGTAGACGCAGCCACCTGAGGGAGCGCTCCAGCCGGGGGGGTCACGGTGTCTAGAGTGAACAGGCCGGACACCGGGTCCCGGGGGAACGTGGACAGGGGGGCACCAGTGGCGGCCTCGGTACAGACAGCATACCGCTCGTGACCAGGGAACGTGGTGGTGACGCCAAGGTCCTGGAGGCAGCCGACACCAACTAGGTTCCTGGAGAACGAGGGGATATGCAGACCTGTGAGAGTGCCCGAAGGAACTGCCGGACAGGGAAGGGTGGTGGAAC